ATTTCAGACTTCTTTAATGTGACCATTTAATGTGACCATTTCTTTAATGTGACCACACGTAATTTTCGTGTCATTTAACCTCTAAAAAGTCTATTCGCGCAGCTGTATCTCTTGCATGCAACAGGCCCATTCGGTCGGTTATGCAGAAACTGACATCTGCGTCCGAATAGTTACTTCACTAGCGCCTTACTAGCGAATGGCGTCTATTTATCAGAGATGTCACACATTTTTGAGCATATTGGATGTGAAATTGGCGCCTTTTCCCCTTGATTCTTACTAATTTCGGGCGATTTTTCCACGGATAATTTTGGAATATACATCGCATAGTTGCTAATTTTTTTTTTCATCCGTTGCTTCTTTCACGCGTTTTTGGTGAGTGCATTTTTCAAATCATGTAATTAATTCTTTAGAAAATGATACATTCATATTAAAAAATTCAAAAAGCAAAAAAATTTATTTTTATGATTTTTGTATCTCTTTCTGAATCATTTTTAATTGTTTGAGTACTTAAAATGAATAATCAAGCATTAACCAAATTTTGTTTTCAAGATTGAAAATTTTGATTTCACGGACTGAAAATTTTTGCGTTCCGTTTAAACCGAAGTTTATTACGTGTGACTGAAGTTAGTAACCATATTCATTTATCAAATATTCTGCCCTCTTACTTTAAGTTTCCGGGTAAAATTCCTCCATATTAAAGTGCTATTAAAGTGCCCTAAAAGTGCATTGCACGTAGAAATTTGGCAACATTGAGATGTAGTTCTGTTCTTATGAGGGAAACGACGATTTCAGCAAAATTTGTTAGATTTCTCGATGTTTGCTTATACTTTTGCTTTAGAAATACACCGAGCAAAAAATATGTTGTTTTAACATTCTGGATGTAAAAAAGTGTGCGAGAACTCACTAAGCGCTGAATTAACCGCCACAGCAGCAGTTCGTTTTACATCTTGACATTGCTAAAGTAACTGCTGTAGCGGTTAATTCAGCGTTAGTTCTCACACATTTTTTTGCATTTACTATGTTGAATCAGCATCTTTTTTTTTCGGTGTCACCTTAATACAGACTGCTAGCCAAGGAAATGAATGGTGGAATTCAGTTTGGCAGCATGGAGAAGGCAGTGAATATGCCTAGAAGAGGAGAAATTTCTTGAACGATGACCACCGCGACTGCGACTGGTCATCCGAGATCCAAGAGTCCAAGACCAAAGACCCCGCGACAAGGGCGCTATCTATCTTCCGACTCTCAACACCTCTAGCGCAACGAATTAATGAGTTAATCGCGACGAGACTAAATCGGCACATCCTCCTTGCCACTTCGCACACGACATTAGCGAGTCTTTTTTTCCCTCTTAAAACACAACGTGTACGTTCAGTTCTTGTGCTCTCTGTTCACTGTAAAACATGGAGCTGTTAGATTAGAGTACCTGCATACGGGAGAGTATTGCCATCCCTGTGCCGCTTTCTGATTGGTTCATCAGTTTTAGGTTGTCATGGAGCTCCAAAGTTGGCCCAATGTAAACAAACCCGACTCAGAGGAATACGTATTATTGGCTGAGAAATTAATGATAATCACACTCAAAGCTCAATTTTCGGCAAAAATATCCATTAAAGCTCGATCCGAACTCAATTCAGAAGTTGATCATAAAAACATTTCTATCACATCCAAAATCACGTCTAGAACTTTTTAGGACTTTTTCGCCATCGTGTTTGTTTATATTGGGCCAAACTAGGAGCGAAGGGGCTGGAGTTTGTTTACATTGCACCAACTTTGGGGCTCCATGATGGCCGACCAATCAGAGAACGGCACACTTTTTCTATAGTAAAAGGATTGAGATAGCAATACTCTCCCGCATACAGGTACTCGGTACTCTAGTCAGATTATTTGTAGGTTTTGCTATTAAGACTAGCCCAATGAAGATCCGAGGACAGCTGATTTGTATGTGGCCTCAAAAATTATTTTTGGTTCCTCTACCGGAAAATTTGAGTGAGAATTGAAACAATTCACCTAATAGTTTGTAAAAATCTTCAGTATGAGACCAGATTGATTTAGGTCCAACCGAAAAAGGAGCCATTTGAGATCCGTTCAGAGCTCAGATAAATCATGCATGACCTACGGAGAGATGCGGCCAGCTGTACTGAAATAGGAGCTTTTCCGGAGATTGAGAAGCAACCAGAGCAAAGGCGAGCTCTGTTTTTCCTCCTAACCTTTTTATTTGAAAGGGAAGCTCTAGAATAAATAAATAATATAAATATAAATGGAAGGAAATTAATTTTTGTTTTCCTGGTTCAAATTTTCAGAAATGTTTTGTTGTCGTAAAACTGGGCTTTTTGGAGTTATTTCTGTGTAATTTTTCACTCATTCAAAAATTTTCATAGAAAATATAGAGATATAGCTTCCTTTTAAAGAAATAAAACCTATAATTGGAGTTTTTGAATGTTGCAATAGAGATTAGATTTTTCCCAGCTCATTCATGGTATCATCGATAGTATCATGTTATCTATCAAGCGTGCCGGATAGCAACACGAGGCTAATGAAAAACGTGCTGTCTGGCAACACAGTGAAGTGAGGAAAAATGGCTTTCCAAAGTTGCGCACATTGTCTCAGCTATTCCTATTGTTTCAACCTAATTGTCGGCGTTACAATACCGGTCAACTCTAATTCCTCAATTTCATCCTATGACCGAGCAGTGAAAGCTGGTTACGATTTTTTTTCTGTCTCTCTGTCCGGACCGAAGATGTACGCAAGAACACCAGCTTGGAATTTCATAACGTTGCACCAATATTTAGAAAATTGCACTTGTTGATTTCCGACGTTGACGCTGCGTTTGGGTTTAAGGGATTTTGCTCAACTCTTGATTTCATGCCGGGGACTTTTGCGGCTAAGCCGAGGAGCCGTAATTTTAATAAAGTTGTGGATGATTAAGTTGCCTTCAGAAATTTTCACTTTAACATATTTAACACCGTAAAAAGATGCGTAATTCTGTGGTTTCCTTTGCCTTTTTCTGTAGCTTTCTCTCTGAAAAACTTTCTACGGATCTATCGTAAGGTTTACGCTCTTGAATTTTAGTTCAGGTTTGGAACAAGTGCCCTTATTATAATGATATGTTAAAAGTTTCCTTAAATTTATCGTAATCACAACAACAAACACATGGGGCCAGGGCCTTCCTCAGGGAATAAGCTCATTAGAGTACGATCATGGGCATGAAAACAGTCTTTAAATCCCCTTAAAGGTTGAGTACGGGCATTTTCAAGCATTTTCAATCTGTTTTGCGTAACATTTTACAGAAAGTCAAAAAACATACGGTAATGTAACTCTCATCCTGATAGTCTATTCTACCGTGCTAAGGAAGAACACCGTATGAGCCTCCACAGACGTCGCCAAACATCTTATGATAATAAACCAATTTTCAAGGAAACTTGTGGATATTCCACACCCAATTTCTCAGGGAATTTAATCTGTAATTTAACTACAGTATCGGAACATTCCAAGTACCAATGGACCGCGTTAAGCAAAAAAGAACCAAGCTACATCAGCTATTGCCAAGAAACCGGTCATTATACCTTATACAAGAGAGTGTGCGGATTATTTTGAAAATGATAAGGAATTTGCTTTGCACCGTGGTGAAAATTCGCTGAAATTTGCACACAAATCCGCATGGCCGTTGTCGTGTAAAAAATTAAATTGCCTTGTTAAATTTGATAATGGCTAATGTGGCTTGGTTTCTTCCTGCTGAACGCGATCCAAATATTCATGTATTTCCTCAAAAATAAATGTTTTACAAAGTGAAATTTGGTAACATCTGACTGTCCATACGGCGCGGCGTTTTTCCTAAGCACGGCAGTGTTCAGGAGCCCTGGATCCCAAATTGGGCCCTGCGTGAGAAAATTTGGATCTTGTTCACTGTCTCATTATGTCACCCAATTTTGGGCCGTAATAGTCGACGCCGATAACAAGCGTTCAGTCATGAGTTGACATCCCGGCGAGCGGATGTTTCGGAGAATGTTCCAGTTCTCCGAGACAGAATCCGTTCAATATAATAAATGACGAACAATAAGAAAGTGAAATGGGAGTGAAAGAGGAGCCCGAGGACAATACATGTGAGCTTATGTAATTTTCCGATGGTCCCAGAGACGCGTCGCCTCTTCAGCTAGTCGGCTGTTTCGTAAGCCTGATTTTCCTTTGTCGAGCTATTAGGTAATGGGCCGTTGAATTTCTTCGCGCCATAAACCACCGAATTTCTTCAATCATGGACTATTAGGCAAGGATGGAAACCACGCATCTCAAATTACAAAACATTTACATACACTGAAAAAAAAAGTTCGGTCGTATGAGCGAAAGTTCGGTGTTCCATATCATCCCAACCAATTCGGTTCGCGTGACCGAAATTCAACAGTAAAATGACCTGACGAACATAGTATGATCATATGAACCGAACGGTGGGTTACGGGAACCGAAAGCTCAGTTCGACAAATCGAATATTTCGGATGATTTGGAACGCCGAACGTTCGGCTCATATGACTGAACTTTTTTTTCAGTGTACAAATGCGAGAGGTACACTAAAAATTTCAAACAACCCAAAAATGGACGTATTTCTTCCAAACAGAACTATATGCGGGTGGAAGATGTAAAGTATGCTCGTTAGTTCTCGCACCTTAAGAGAGAATGGGAATTATAAAGCGCCAGTGACGTCAGCTCTGACGACGGAAGCGATCCGAGGAGCTGCTTGGTCTTTAACTCTTAAGCTTAATAATTAAAGCTTAAATAGGCTAATCCCACGCTTATCATTAGCTCTATGTGACCATTGTCTAGGACCAACAAACTCAGGTCACCTGGCCGGGAATCAACCCCGGGTCCTCTTGGTTGTACGGCCAGCGCTACAACCACTATACTAAAAGAGGCCGATTTGAGTTTCCTGAAATTTTTCATAAAATAGACATGCCGTTCACTTCTAGTTTGAAAGACGAAGAAAAAAATTAGTGTAATTAAAGACTTTCACTTACTGGCATTTTCGATGGCTGCTAAGTTGTTGGAGGGAGTAGCGTGGACTTTATCCCGGGAGACACAACAACTCCAAATCATGCCCCCGCTACACAAGTCCAACGGCCGGCCTCCCTCCAACACGCAGGATATGCTCAGACCGCAGTCGAATCTCCCTCCGTTATACCAACATGTTTGCGGTATCACTGAAACATAAATCAAACGACAATTGGTTAATTTCATTAGGAAGAATATCAAGGGTCGTTAAAATATCCGTAATTAGCAACGCTTCGCACACACCCCTGCTTCCTGAAGTAGATTTTCAGGTTCTAGTGCCCGCATTTTATCATGTAGGCAACATGGACATCCTAAGAGTAGATAAAGTTGTATTCAGGGAGCACTATATCCGTCGTGTAGATTAGGAACTAGCTTAAAGTGCAAATTCCCTCCAATACTTGCTTAAACTGCCATACTTAGGGAAAACGAGTTATGAACTTTGAATGTTGCTGAATTTTCCTCGATACATTACATAATTTTGAGGAAAATTATGAATATCTTTCCTTGACAGCTTTAGACGATTTAGATCAAATTGCGAACAAACTTCCCTTCAAAAATGGGGAGAAAATGCAGAAGTTTCTAAGGAAATCTGTATTAAACTAACGCAAATTTGGCAACAGCAAAAGGTTCATACGTGTCTTTACTCAGCACGACAGCACACTACAGCCGGACCAATAAAAAACACCGTATAAGATTTTGAACGTTGCCAGATTTCCTTTGCTAAGACGTTTTGCTGAAGAAGTTTGTAGTATTATTCGACAAATTTTCCTGAGAATTGTATCTATTTTCACTTTAATTTTAAGCATCTGAAAATGTTGAGGAAAATTTTCATAACTCTCCTATGAAATATTTAATAGGAAGAGATTTGGTAATGCCCGAATACTTCGTCGTTTCCTGGGCGAAGGAACGTAACTCCATTCCAACGTTGCAAAACTGACTCAAACATTTTAATTTTTTACAAGAATATACCAATGCAATTTTAGTCCCAAATGTTTCTGAATTTTGCTCTATATCAGAAGAAAAATCAGTGAAATTTTCAGTTAGAAATGCCCAAGATTTCCCTAGAAAAAAATACAATTTTCCAGAAGAAATTGGGCAGCATTGAAATTAAGTTAAGTTCTTTCGTTAGAGAACAACGTTTTATGTGGTGCTTTTTCCTTGACACGGCAGACTCTACGAGTTTTCTCAACGAGCTGAGCCATGCCCTGTTTCTTTCGCTCGACAAAAACTCCTCCGATTCTAATCATCGTGTTCCGACTTTACAGTTGAGGATGTTCTAACCATGCTTGCGATACAGGATCCGCAAGGAGATTAAAAGAAAAAGAGCGGCCAGGGTGAAGGGGGGGGGGAGCTAGCCTGGAGCGTGACCAAATAAACGCTGCGAATGGTATAGAAGTGCGTGGAGAGGAAGTGCAATCTTGTGGGAATTATGAGTGCATCATGTGAGACACACGCGGCACTAGGGAAGAGAGGAATCGCTATTTTGGACCCAAAAAGTTAAATTTTCTCACAGTCAAGAAGAATAAGCCCAAATGTATAATGACAAGTAACGGTCACTCGATTGTTTTATCCGCAATAACACTGATCTACCCCCCCCCAAAAAAAAAGAAAAAAACGATGAAGATGTGGTTTAACTACATAAATTACCTTCCGGTCACAACAACATCAAGCATACAACTACTATCACACAACTATCATACAACTATCATACAACTATCATACAACCGCCATCCGATGCTTCAAAATTACCGCCGTCATTTTACTTTTTTACTGAGAAATTATTGGTTTAAAAAATTTCACTGAATTTCATCGGCAGCAGCACAAAGAAAATTCAGTGAAATTTTCGGACAGCTTCCCTGAACGATTTCTCTGTATAAAATGAAGTGGCGGCGGAAATTTTTAAACGTCGCATGGCGGTTGTGATACTTTGACCGGAAAGTAACGATATGATGATGAGTCTGATGTAATTTTCAGCGCTATGTCCGAAACTGATCGCAGTTTTTTCCTGTGCCCACCAATTTTCCGGAAAGTCGTGATTTTCCGCAGAACAGGCTTCTCTAAGGAAAATTCAATTTTCACGGTTTGTTCGTGATTAAGAAAAACTAAGGCAAACTTCGGATTCAGCAGCCCAAACATTGGAAAATATGTATTGTATATCTAAATCATTTTCCTCGCCATGTCTGTTTTCCCGATGATATGGCATAATCCGTCGATACACCCCTTTTAAAATTGGTAGGTTTATTTTGCACCTGATAAGTCGGGACAGCTATTTATTTCAGTCGCATCCCTCTTGATTGAAGGCAAAAACTGCCTCGGTTTTTTCCCATCAACTACCACTTTTCGGAAAATCAAACTTTCCGAAAATATATCTTTGATAGGGGCCAAAAACGTGCGTTGTTGAAAAATTCAATTTTTTGGGAAATCGGTGGGCGAACGGAAACAACTAACGCATTGCGCTTGAGTTACAAAATGCACAAAGCACGTTCATTTTCTAGACAATTGAATGTACCCCGTTTTGCGAGGAAAATCTTGATTTTCTGGAATGTTATGAGAATATGAATTGTAGGAAAAGGCTTAATTATAAAATATCCACTTCCACTTGCATATACCATCATCATTTTCTTATTCTTGTCAATCAAAAGAAAAACAATTTCTTGAAAGAAAGCAGTCAAATATTTGCAACAAGAAGTAAATGGACTTGCCTTATACAATTATTGCAACTGCAAAACCAGAAACTTTTCCTCAATCAGCAGAATCGTCTCCTCTCTCTTGAGTCCAAGAAATAGGTGCTCTCATTTTCCAACCATTATCTCATTTCCTTCCCGACCTCTCTCTACCCCGTCTGAGAGCGATCCTTCCTTTCTTCCTTCCGTCCTTCCTCTCCCACTGTCTCTTACGTATCAAAGCCATCGCTCCGATGACTCTGATTTGTGGAGCAAAATTTGGAAATCACTCTGGGGAGCTGTTGCCACATTTGCTAAAAAATGTATGCGTCTTGCAAGTGAGGATTCGCGATTAATATTAGTTTAAAACTAGACACAATCCACATTTCAGGAGGGGAAGAGCAGAGTGCTGTAAAATGATTTCTCACGAATACATTTATTGGTATTTTTTGTGCTATAGTTTCGCCATTGCACCTAGAAAATCATATACGTGTATTTAGGATTGCGATGTTGGAGACTACCTGTCTCATTCCATTTTTCAAAAGACAAATGGTCATCGTTTTTGTCTCAAATTCCGAGCGATTCATCAATACTGCTCTTTTAAAATTTTGTACTTAAACATCAAAATTGGTCCATCTGAAGGAGAAAAAAGACAAAAAAACATCCAAAAAAAGGGTGACTCGTTAAGGAAAATCAATAAAAACTCCTCATAGTACGCTCAATGGTCATAGACCTAATTATTTGAGATTTTGAGGACCAAAAACGTTGTAATACATTTAAATAATGCATTCTTCGGAGAATTGACAATGTTGCGATTAAAGTCAGAAATGGTTTACATCATCGGCAAAATAGGCAATGCTGGAATGTAGTGAAGGCGTAAAAGAAACAATTGAAGCTTCTGTTTGTGTCGCATGCGACAGATACTGAACGAATTGTATTATAACCCCTGGATGCAACAATTCGAGCTTTATGGATGTCCAAGTTGCATACGCACTGAAGTGAAGGGGTTATGAGTTTAGACGCTAGTCGCCTCTCCAGCGGCGCCGAGAGAAGCGGGTAAATAAGAGGAATCTTACAAAATATGGAATTGTTAAAAACTTATATCATGGTTGATACGGAACGTAGATACTTCAGACGTAGTAATTCATTGATTTTCTCATAAAATTTTTTTAAAAAATCACTTCTAACAACAAAAATTGTGAGGAAAGTATCGTCAAAATGTGTAGTTCTCTAGTGGAAAATTACATACTTATCCTCTCTGAAAGGCTGGTTTTATAGTGCGGCAGGCTTTACTGTGAGGATCTAGTGCCTTTTATCGGTGGTTCGCTCCACTTGTAGAAGACATCTCTCAGGCGTGGATAGTTGCTCTACAGCTCATGCTGAGCACATAGCGATTTCAAAATTGAAGCACCAAAATTACTCGCATCCTCCTCCTGTATGCAACTCTGCCTTTGGTGCCGCGCTGCGGGAGTAGTTGTGAGTGCCCTGGCAGTCAAAATGCCTTCATATACACGTTTATGCAACACGGACATCCATGAAGCTCGAATAGTTGCATCCAGGAGTTGAAATGAATAGTGTTCGTCGCATTCGATACTACTTGAGGGTGCTCTGCTTGTTTCTCTCACACCATAACACCTATTTTGCCAACTAAATAAACTATTACTTGCTTTAATACAACATAGTTAATTTTGTGACTAATTTTATGATTTTTTAAATGTATAACAACGCGGCCGTCCTAAAATGTGATCCATCTGACGATCCGCAGGCACCACTTTGCTCCACTTTGTGCCTCATGGACCGGCTCAAAAAGTGCAACACGGCCATCCATGAAGCTATGTTTGATTGTGTGCTTCATCATCATTCTAACATGCAACCCTAGCCCCATAAAAGCCCCAAAATGGAGTAAATGTACTCACTTTTTCCGAGCATATCCATGATGTCGTTCTGGAAGCCCTTGGGGTCGTCGGCGACGGTCTTGTTCAGCTGGTTCTTCTCGCCGAGGACCTCGATGAGCATGGACCCCTGGTTCTTGTACGGGTGCCGCTTGCTCCAGCCCAGGTAGGCGTCCTGGACCCACCGGAACCGGTTCCCGTCCTCCGACGCGTTCCGGTTCGCACCCTCGGACCCATCCTCGGCCACGCTGAGCCGGTACTTGTTCCGGTACAACCGCTGCACCGCCTCCGCCACGGACTCCCGCATCCGCCACCTCTCCTTCTCGCCGTCCTTCTGCAAGGTCGGCACCTGCTCCAGCTTCGCCTCGTCCAGCATCACGATCTCCGGCTCCGGTTTCCGCCGGTCCAGCACCTCCTCCAAACCGGTTTGGTTCTTGCCCAGGTCCAGGAACTTGACCCTCCGCCCGGACTTTGACGCCTTCTTCGCGTCGTCCTCGGGCGATTTCAACTTGGGCGAACCGGTTTCTTTGACCGATTTCGTGTCCAACAGGTTCTTCGTCCCGTCAGCGGTGACGTCATCCTCCAGCCCGGACTTTGGGAAGCGGAACGATGCGCCGTCGACGAGGAACGCCAGGAGCAGGAATTGGGACAGGACCAGGAAAACGGGGAATTTAGGGATGGAGAAAACCGGTTTCATTTTATGGACTTACCTGTTCGGATCGGTTGCGAGGGGGTAGGGGTTGGGGGAGAGGGGGATGGGGTCAAAAAAAGAGGTATGTGTAGAAAATTGAAGTATTTGTTTTTCTGTTTATTCCCATGGCCGTGCAAGGGACGGCTTCACAAAGTGCTCTGAAACTTTGCGTAGATAGGCGGTGACGGATGTCTGGAGATAGCGGGGTTTGCGGTGTTCTGCATCTTATCCGTGGTTATTGAAAGAAACGGTGGCACTTTTTTGATTTTCACATCCTTTGCATTTTTTGTTTCACTACTCGTAGGGATCGAACGCACTGATTATCACTCCCGAAACTGGTTGCTGATGGATTTCGGTTTCGGTTCACTCGCGCATCATTCGGACATTTCTCGAGGGCCTGAGGAAAGAGGAAAATTAGTAAGAGCGAGAATTTTAAAATATTGATGTTTCTGTTCTCTGTGCGCATTGATCTCCTTCCACTATTAAATCAGTGGCGTGGCGTGCTTTGCGATATATCGATTGATCCGCCATTGAAAACCTATGGAAAAGGATCGATAAACAGGGTGTTCGCAACGAACACCTTAATAATCGATTCTTTATTATAGCTTAAAATGGGGAAATCTCGATAATCGATCATTCACGCCTCGCCACTGTCCTAAATCAACCGACGAATTTGATTCCTCTAAGCCGAAACTCAGTTTTAACTTTTAGTCCCAAAAATAGCACATGTGGATCACATTTTGCAGTAAAGAACCACTACTTCTGGCCCATTTCAGAAACAAAATACATACCACATGGTTTCCCTATGCAGATATGTGCTTTTATGGGAGAGTCAGAGATAGTAGTTTTCCTTATTGCAAAATGTATTCCATATAATATTCCATACATGATATTCCAATCTTGCAGGTATGCATTAGGTGTAAGATTCTTGTCATACGAACAAATAACTCATGAAAAGCTGATTTGATGTAGGTTATCGATGACTCTTTCAGCCGTCTGAGTAGTCAAGGTGCATTTTTGATCATGAATGATCCTTTAACGTTTTTAAATTGAGCTTTGATAATGACTCAAAAGTTAATTCTCTTTGAAAGTGTATCTTCAAGAGAAATGGACCTCACCTCGCGATAAGAAGTAGCAAGTTTTGGCTCATTTACAAAAACGCCTCTCTGCATAGGGAAACTAATGACTCATAAGTTGTTTTTAAATCGAGTCAGAAATAATGGCTCCTGGATGCTTGTCAAGATAAGATACACACTGGAAAAAAAAGTTCGGTCATTTCAACCGAACGTTCGATGTTCCATAACATCCCAACTATTCGGTTTGTCAAACTGAACTTTCTGTCCGTGTAACCGAACACTTAGTTCATACGATCGAACTTAGTTTGAAGTTCGGTTTGACGTACCGGAAATTTGGTTTGAAAAACCGAATTACTTTGGATGATATGAAACACCGAACTTTGGCTCTACGACCGAACTTTTTTTTTCAGTGCAATATTATCATACCTACGAATTGGAGATGAGAAATTAATACCGACCCAATGCGCATCAAACCGAAAGGACAGCGTACTGACAAGACGGAGAAATACTCACTCAAATGAAAGTACTTTCAAATTTAATAAATATTTACATAAGTGACAATGCACGACTAATGATAATACAGCTAGTTTGACTAGTCCGCCGGCGTTCGGCTTGTACGGAGATGTGAGAAAGCTGCGTCCAATAATAAAAACTCAGATTAACATGATAATGGGCCTTTTATTATTCTATTCTGAAGAGGCCCATACTCTACCAGAACAAGCCAGGAAAAAAAGAGTCAGACGGTTTTAAAACCTCGCTTGTTCGCTAGCCGGTAACCTCCAGAATATAGGCATTCCAATGGAGCTGAAAGCTCATGTAATTCAGGACATAAGAGGTTTTAAGGGCGACTGATTCAAGTAGCTTCAAGTGTTACATGTTAAGGAGCTGTGAGATTGAGACTTGCAATGCTAAGTGACCGTTCGGCTTATGGATGATGGTCGTTACAGATGTAATCCTTACGCTCTGAGCCCGCCCAAGAATTTGCCACTCATCGTCTAATTAGGGTCTATTATTTGGAGATGAAAGTTGTTTCCAGCGTTTCTTTCTTTCTCTCTTTCTTTCTCTCTCTCTATCATTCTTTCCTTCTTTCTTCTCGTTCTTTATTTATTTTTTCAAGGGTGAATTCCATCGGAATTTCTCAGAAGGAGCGAACACATTGGCTATGATGTCATATACGTGCGGTTTGACCATTCAGCTGTCCGTAAAACTATTTCTTCGTAAAAAAGCGATAACCTTCATAGCGCTCAGCCGAATTGGAGCCCTTTTTAATTTATTTCTTTATTTTATTTATTTTTTTTTAGTATTAGAGATTTCCCGCTTTTTTTGTCTGTTGAATGTAAAAATACTACTAGACACTCACGAGCCTTTTGAGTGCACATTATTTCAAAATTACATCGCTCTAATCGACAATCAAAACTCCACACACCACCCCTTCCAATCTGTCTTCATCTGACTGTAATCTGCCCTTACTCAAAAAGATATTAATTATTATTTGTATTGTAATATTTGCCCCCAAGGAGTCTGGCATTGATAAAAATTCTCACATTACTGTCGTAACATCTGTTTTTTTTTTCAGTGTGTATCGCACAGTCTCAAAATCTCCCATCATGTTTTATTTTATGGAGAGGAAACTAACTGACATATTTCATCAAATCTTCCTGTGGATATTTTTGGTGTGAGAGAAGAAAATTCACAAAAAATTTCAAGAGCAATAGCTGGTCTGCTTTTGATATTTGTATAAATCATAACATTTAATAAATGGACTGCATTTTGCAATGTGGAGCTATAAATTCTGGCAAAATTCTGAAAAAACACTTAGTATGTGCATTGGGGAACTAATGGCACATAAGTTGTTTTTAAACCGGGCTATAATTCATAGTTCCAAATTGCGAAATGTAGTCCAAATAAAACGCGACGTCGCAATTAGAGATAACCATTTTTTGACTTCAACTATCCAAATATTTCACCCATCCTGTCTTGCTCGCGATTCTTTAGTACATCTACTTTCTCACGGTGAAAAATTAATATTCGGAACGGACGGTGTTGACCGAAAGACCGGAGGGCCATTCTGTGGAGGGGGTCAAGGGGGCAGTCGAAAGGGGGGGGGGGGGGGGTAGGCGATTATCCGAATTAAGCGACTCGCATCCGTCGTCATGATGCCACGGCCGGCGATTGCAGAGTTACATTTGGTGCGGTTTCTTCACAAAATATGTAAACATTAACGGCGGGAAAAAAAAATCATAATTGATGAGTAAAAGCGTTCTGACGCCGGGCAAGCGGTAGCCGCGGCCGGTGAAATGGTTTAGGGCGAATGATGGATGGCTTTCTCTTCATCATCGACCACGACCGGCCAGAGCCAGTGCTCACAATCAGTCGCATTCGATGAACACTGATCCATTTCGTTTCATCCTCCTTTTTATTATTCGCCCTTTTCCTTCGCTTTTTACCGGCCGTCGATGCCGACTGGTTGCTGGTTACTGGTTACTGGTTGCTGGTTGCGCCAAACCCGGGTTTGTCTTACGATGATTTATGGTGCAAAAAATTGTCCGCGGCCCTGTTGCCGAATGTATTGAAAAATATTTTGGATTTTTGCAGCCTGATTTTGGCGCCAAACGTGGAATTTGTTCAATTTGATGTGCTATTTGGGAGAGACTACTTAAAGTTTGATTATTTTAGATATATAAGTTAAATATAACTTAAAATTTGGTGTTTTTTGTATACAAACTGATTGCGGCGACGCGCGGATCGTAAGGCAATCCGTATTGAAATTTTCAGCTTTATGCTGATTTTTAAAGCAAGTTGGCTAAAAAACTCCAACATACTGTTTTTTGTACTAAAAATGGTTATAATGCAACATCATTTCTCCGTTGGCACCAGAATCAGGCGGACATGTATTTTTGAGATATATTTTTCCTTCTTTTGCGCTCTCTATCAGGTAGAATTATTACATCTGTCAGATCTATTAAAATATTCAATGAGAATGTTTAAAGATAGCCATCAAATCTCTAGGACTTTACCTACATTTTTTGAAAACTCTACAAAAAACTTTCGGAACATTACAATTATTTTGGAAAATTCTCGAAAAAAAAGTCCTTGAAAGAAATTGGCAAAATATTCCTGGAAGATCATCAAAAACTTCAAAAAGTACCCTCAAAACTTGAGAAAATATTTTACCAAATGCTTTTTGGAAATTCCCAAACTTCGTTTTCGAAATATCCTTTTCAGATTTTTCATAACTAAGTTTCTTATTAGTTAAGGAGCCATTGACACAAGCTTGCAACCAATGTAAGTCTTACATATAGAGATATTTGTTATACGATCATACTCGGAAAAAAAAAGATCACTGAAGTAAAGATGCAGTCATGCTTTCGATTGGACTACATTCTCATTTAAATTGATTTCGCTTCCCTATTTATCTTTAAAAAATAACGAGGAATAAATAAGGCATCTCTGCTTCGAAAATCCGGGTATGATTTTTTTTTCATAATTTTATTTGCAAAGCAAGAAGAAAGAAGGAAGTTGAACACACAAAATGAGCACGAAAATCATTGTTTTTTTTCATCCTGGACGAAAGAATGAGGGGTTTAATTTGACGATTCACTTTTGCATCGTTTTATTTTTGTTCCTGTCCGAATTAACCGGCGTCCGCTTTCGACCGTAAAATGCCCGGTTGATTTATTAGACTCGATTAAGTGTTTTACTCTAATAAGCCTTGCAATTAACATACCAGGCTTGACTTTTTGAGGGCATAGTTTCCGAGATTTCACGGACGGATTGTTATATCCAAACCAAAAGCTTTAACCTCACGAGAGCCTCACTTTATCCTTGCCTATCGATCCCTTTAATCCCTCTCGCGATATTATAGCCAAAATGGTGTCCAAAGTAGAAAAGTATCTCAGTGGCGAGGCGAGCAAGATCGATTATCGATGTTCCCCTTCTTGAGGCTACTGTGAAGAGTCGATTATAAAGGTTGTCGCAACACGTCGCAAACAGCCTGTTTATCGATCCTTTTCCGTAGGTTTAAATGCCAGATCAATCAAATCACGCCAAAAAAAAGCACGCCACGCTACTGGTAAGAACATTTTATTCTTCTCACTTACCTCCATAACTCTTCGTAGCCTTTTAAATGGGATTGTTGGTCCCTGGGATCCAATTTATTATTAAGGCTCGAGGTTACTAATTAATCAGACTATGGAGAAATTTCAAATTTCAAATTAAAAATCAACCATCGTGGGATAAAATTCAACCTTTTTTCAGTATTGTCCATGAGAAGGGACTCTGGCGCTTGAATTGAATCCCTCTTATTTTGAAAATTCAGTGCATGACCATGTGAGGTGACAATTTCAGACCAACCAATGAGTGATTTGAACAATTTTAAACTAAAAAGCTTAAAGAGCTTTATTTGGTCCTCGGAAGTTAAGATTATCGCCGTGAGGCTAAAAATTAGTTTCTGACAAGACCATTCTTACACTCGATACAGTCTGTGTACTTTGTCGTCCCTAAGTAATCGAAACCAAACTTTGTCTAAAATTATCACGAAACATGTTTATGCAGTTACTCATAAACATTTCGCTTGCTAAAATGAGTTGCTTGTCACAATGCTTGTCACAAATGTGACATCGCAGATTTTGCGAAAAGAACCCTAAGCAGAGGCCATAAAGTTTCTCTACTCATGCTGTACGTAATGTGAGAATAAAATGTGTGCCTTCTCCTCCTCCCACACTCCTTTTATACCCTTGTCACCGTCCGAGTCACATAAACTAAGGCCTCACTGGGCAGAGCTTAAACCGTCTTTTCCTAGCAGAGGCACTTACTCTGAGATTGCAAAATTTAGGCAAACGCTTTAATTTTCTCTAACAACGTGAAAAATGTGCGATTCATTGCGAATTTTTCACTGATTTTTGAGAGCAGTTGGAAGAAACGTCGGTGAAATTTTCAATCAGAAATATCCGACGGTTTCCCTGTGAAAGCACAATTTGCAATTGGGAATTTCACAGCGTCAAAATAGAGGTATGTTCTTTCATTAGGACACGACGAGACGATACCTCTTGTTCAGACCACAAGAGCAACAACCATTGAGCCCAGAGAGGGCGATCGCTCTGATACTTTCCCATAATTCATTCCCACGACCGAAGTGCGTAAACCACTTATCTCTATTGCTGTGTTTCAGCATTGCCACTCCTATTTAAAGTTTTTCGTGGAGAAAGAGGCCAACATTATAGCTTGAAATTTATACAGAACAGTCTGAAGAAAATGCAAGGTTAGTTTCAAGAAATGGCGTGGACTAGTTTTCCATTGTATAAAGCAGAGAATGACATATCGATGACCATAGTGCGAAGCCACGTATCTCCATTGTGGCGTTTCAAAATTTCCTCTGAATCGTATTTTTTCAGAAAAAAACAATTCAACATTCACGCCTAAAATTATACGGAATATTTTGCTGGCAGAGAGGAAAAGTCAAGGAAGTTTTCAAGAAATTACGTTGACTAGTCTGCCATGCTAAGGAAAAACGCCGCGCCGTAAGAACCTTCAGACGTTTCCAAGTTTCCTTCAATAAAAACTGACTTTACTGGAAAAATTGTGAATATTTTTTTCCAAACTTTTCAGACAATTTTGTGCTCGTTTTAATCTAAAACATCTGAAAATTTCAAAGGAAAATGTGCATGAATGTCGTCAAAAATGCATGTCTTATCAAGGAAAATTTGGCAACTCTCGAATGTTCATGCGGCGTTTTTCCTTAGGACGACAGTAAAGTTCCCAAAAAGAAACGAAGATCGGGATTCTGCAACGTCGCAAACGGAGTTACGCGGTTTTGTATTTTAGCCATGGATTCGCACGGCTACATCGAGTAATCGTCACATTGAGGCCTTTTATATATCGATCATACTAAAAAAACAAGATAACCAACCAAACGACAAGTAAATCGGCAATCAAAGAGATCCGCTTCGAAGTGGAAGCCAACGTGCACAAAGAACAGAAAAACTATCCAACACGATAACAACAAGAAAACACACCGGTAAACACGCACTCACACCGGGCGGCCGCGGCGCGCGGGTCTGAAAATCGGGCAATGACGTCACTGGCGCGGGAAAACGGGAAAACGGGCGCGTTTCGGAAAAGCGGAACGCGGGAGCGTCGGAACGTTTATCGTTGAGCGTTCGTGGACGGAACTTTGACGGCGGCCGGCGGCGCTCCTGGGGACTTGGAGAGAACTAGACGCCTGGACGGAGCCGACTAGCGATTCCGATTCGGACGCGGAGTGAGGAGGAACTTTCCCCAGTGACTCCGTGTCTGCCATATCCAGGTTGATACGCCCCTCCCTTACTCTCTCTTTCAATCCGGTCCTTCATCTCTCTTTCTCTCTCTCGCGCNNCCCTCCCGACCCCCCCCTCCCCCGCTGGTCCTTCCCTCTCTGGTCGGGTTTGTTTTGCCCACGACTGCGACATTTTTTTCGCGACTGAAGCGCATGACCATGGATGGGTGCTGGAGGTAAAGGTACACGCGACAAGCCCAAAAAAAAAAAAAAAAAAAATTAAAAATGTAAAAAATAAAAAAAAGAGAGATAGAAAGAGACTGTCATTTGGATTAAATTTTGTAATAAGGAACCACTGTGCATGTCCATTCTCCATGGTTGGGTGCTGGAGGTAGAGGTACCCACAATAAGCAACAAAAAAAAAATAAACAATTGAAAAAAATTGAAAATGTAAAAAATAAAAAATGGGAGAAAGAGGCTGTCGTTATGATTACATTTTGCTGGTCCTTCCCTCTCTGATCGGGTTGGTTTTGCCCGCTCTGTGACATTTTTTTCGCGACTGAAGCGCATGGCCATGGTTGGGTTCTGGAGGTAGAGGTAAACGCAACAAGCCAAAAAAAAAATTTAAAAAAATTGAAAACGTAAAAAATAAAAACATAAAAAACACGGAGAAAGAGGCTGTCGTTATGATTACATTTTGCTGGTCCTTCCCTCTCTGATTGGGTTTGTTTTGCCCGTGATTACGACATTTTTTTGGGACTGAAGCGCATGACCATGGTTGGGTAGAGATACACGCAACAAGCTAAAAAAAAAAAAAAAATTAAAAAAAAATTGAAAAAAATTGAAAATGTAAAAAATAAAAAAAAAAACTGAGAAAGAGACTGTCATTTGGATTTCATTTTGTAATAAGGAACCACTATCTCTGGCTCTCCCTTAAAAGCGTATATCTGCATAGGGCAACCAATGGAACGTATGTTGTTTCTAAAATCGGCCAGAAATAGTGGTTCCTTGTTGCAAAATGTAATCCATTTAACCCTTTGACTCCTACCAATGAGAATTCGCAACCTCGCTTGACCACACTAAGACCTACACCGAGACTTCTCGTCCTGGAACTTCAAAAAGCTTCATTTTTGGTGTAATTTATTTGGGGGGGGGGGGATGAGAGCTGGTTTGATGGTTGATCTTCACTCCTACTTACCTCTGGATAAAGCACACGAGATTGCAAGCTATTTGATCGAGAAATAAGAAAAAAAAATTGCGATTTCTAGGACCGGCAACATTAGGATTCATTTAAATAATGAATTTCTCAGAAAATTGACAATGTCGCGATGAAAAACCAGTAATGATTTAAATCGTATCATCGGCAAAATAGGCAACGTTGGAACTAACTTGAGGTGTGAAAGAAACAATCAAAGCTTCAGTTCGTGTCGCATGCGACGGATACTGTACTTTCATTATAACCCCTGGATGCAACTATTCGAGCTCCATGGATGTCCGTGTTGCAGACGCACAAAAGCGAAGGGGTTTTGAGTTCAGACACTAGTCGCCTCACCAGTGGAGCGCGTCAATGAGAGGTTTCGGACAAAATTTAGAAATATTAAAAGCTCCTATTGCGGTTAATACGGAACGCAGAGGTTTTAGAAATGGTCTCATCGATTTTCTCGCAAAATCTTCCTCTAGAAGCACACCATTAAATTTATAATGCGAAGAAATTAACATCAAAGTTGACAGGTTTAGTCGAAAATTTCATACCGAACCTCTCTAAGAGGCTGGTTTCACTGTGCGTTGGGCTTTACTGGGAGGATCTAAAAAGGAGGAGTGACTTCAATTCTTCATTTATACTTCGAAGGCATGTTTCAGACATGAATTGTTACTCTACAACTCATGCTCAGTACATTGCGATATCAAAACTGAAGCACAAAATATACACCCTCCGCCTATGCTCGACTACTCATGCTTTAGAGATATCAATGTATTATAATTAGGGGATAGCCTTGTAAAGGAACAATTGAAAGATCATTACTATTTCGAATTCTCCCGAAGTAAAGCCCGCCATTGGTGCCACGCTGCAGCTGTAGGCGCGGGTGAAGTGGTGAGTGCCTGGGCAGTCAAAACGCCTTCACTCCCGCTCGTATGCAACACGGACATTCATCGAGTCCGAAATAAATGTATCCAGTGGTAAAAATATGATTTGTATGGTGTTCATTGCATTCAAAACTGGCTATAGGCGCTCTATACTAACTTACGCCATAACTTTATTTCAGCGCTACCTGTTATGCCGATGAATATTGATTTTCATTGCGACATTACGAATTTTCTAAATAATTCTATGATTGTTTAAATATGCAACAACGTTGCCTATATCTAAAATGTGAGCTGTCAAAACGTTTGTGCCAGAAACCATACAGAGGGGATACCGCCAGGTGCGGCTCCCATCCTCTCGATCCAAGCACGAGGAATGCTGCAAAATCGTTTCATAGTCACCTCAAAAAAAATTTGAACGAAGCAACTCAATATATTTGAATTTTTTCAGTGAGAAAATTTTTAAAAAGGATCGACTGAGGAAAACACTGATATATCCTTTCTATGAAATAGAGATAAAAAATGAAAAAGAATATATTCAAAGAACAAAACATGAACTTTTCAAAATTTGCGATTATGGCTCTCTTTCAACACCCAATTTACACATTAATTATCATTCAATTTCGAGGATACTCAAGTAGTTCACATAATTTGGATGCTGACAGAACTTAATTTCATTTATGCAATTTCAGCGCTTGAAATAGGGTAGCTCATCATTTGGAGTCCATAATTAGACATGAATTTCTCAGGGGATCCTATAGTGGATTACCAGTGACGTCAGATACTTTTTCGGGGGGTAGGGGAAGGCCACTGGCAGAGGGGAGGATGAGCTTTGGTGCTGGTTGTGTCCACTCGGTCAGCCGACTGAAGGCGCACAGTGGACCTTGCCGTCCTGGTGACGTTCAATATGAGTAATTGGACGTTTCTGCCAAACGGAACTATGTACATTATGACGTGAGCCCTAATATGCATATATTCTTATGGGTCTCACGGCTCATGTCTAAATGCACATTGCTCCGTCTGGCAGAAATACGTCCAATCCGTTGCACTCTTGATGTGAGCACGTAACTATGCACTTCGTGTTGAACCTTGTCGTACATGTACCTCAATGCAGTGGCGAGAGTAATCGATTATCGATATTTCCCCATTTGAAACTGTGCTAAAGAATCGATTATTAGGGTTTTCGCTGCAAACAACCTGTATATCGATCTTTTTCCACATATTTAAATGACAGATCAATCGATATATCGCAAATCACGCCACGCCACTGCCTCAATGTATTCCTTGGCTCATCCTCAACTTTCAATACGCGTATATGAGTTATACGAATGTATATCACATCTTAGGCAATTTTTTAAAGTTTCAAGAAATATTTAAAATTTCCTTTTAAATCAAACTGTACAAAATTTTACGTTTTTAAATTTAAGAAGTCACCTTGAAAACATTTCGACTAATTTCTGCCATTCTCCATTAAGTCATGCCTGAAAAATTCATCGCAATTTGATTGGGTGATGTAAAATTCCGCAACATCACCGTCAGCATGGGGATATTTTGCATACAATTTCAGTAACCTATTTAGTCCTCATGATGCTGCTGAAACAACAATTTTCTTTAGACGTATATCGATACCCGCAAAAGGGTCCATCGATTTTCCTCTGTGCTCCATGAAGCGTGCTTTCATGTTATTCTTGTGTATTATCGCGTTTAAGCTAGTAAAATAAGTAAAACCTTTTAGCGCTCTAAAATCTTAGCGGGACCAATATTTGGACCACGTTAAGCAGAAAAGAACCAAGCCACATCAGCTATTGCCAAATTTAACTGGACAATTTAATTTTTTACAAGAGACCGTTTATGCAGATTCTCTTGAAAATTTTGCGGAATTTGCTTTGCACTATGCAAAAAATTTACTGAAAATTTCACAAGAATTGGCGCAACCTTTTTCATGTTAAAAACTGAATTGCCCAATTAAATTTGGCAATAGCTTGGTTCCTTCCTGCTAAACGCGTTCCACTTATATTTGACTTTTTCATGATAAAAACTTTGAATTGCAAGTTTACAATAAGGAAAAAAAATCGTATGTGTCCAGACCAGGAGTGAATTTTTGCACTGAGTGGCGGTAGTTGTGGTAGTCAAGCCGGAGAGGGAGGGGGGGAGGGGGAGCCTATTGGAAAGTGAGTTTGTCAAGATCGAGGCCGTTAAATGCTACATCTGGGCCATCATAGCGCCTCCAGATCATAACTCACTCTCACGCACAGTGGATCGAATCATCGGGAGATGTTGGACGTGCGATTTTTAATCAGAACTGCAACTTATATAATGTTTCTTTCGTCACATGTAACATTTTAAGGGATGACTCTCGCGATTATTTTGACGCTAACTCCAACAAAACTACTTTGAAACTTCTGCATCTTGAGATAACAAAAATATTGGCTTTTAAAATTTCGGAATTATGTCGGACGATTTCCGTTTCTTGAATCCCACTGTGCGGCTCCGCAACTTTGAACCTGAACCCCGATCCTAATTCCTCACCTCATAATAAACACTTCTCTCACGCTGTCCAATGTCGCCAAGTTTCATGTTAAATTAGTCTGGTTTACGGCACAACTTCTACAGAAGATAGTGCAATTATGGACCGCCAGTCACCGCCGCATTGCATTGCCTACCGATGTCAGATCGATCTAAAGGCGTTGAATATAATTATTTTTTGCCGTGCAAAAAAATGTTGAATTGAACTAAATTTCACGCCTTGAATTGTGGTGGGGATTTCAAGACACCGAGAAACGAATAAAGCTCTTTTCTCCCCTTTTTTGTAATGACTGATCAGAGAAAATATTTTTGCTATTTCCTGCGCCATTCCATCCATTTATGAATATACTCTAAAAATTTCGTGTAAAGATGCACATTTACATTCCTTTTAGAATGTA